AGCAGCTGTATTACATATTCCTGGAACATGGAAACAATATAGAAAGAAATTATGACAAGCTGCCAACCACGTGAGTTTCCTCAGAAATCTCATGATCGTAAGGGATTTGGAGTGACCTTTGTTGATGATGTGACAGGTTGTCTGGTTGTCTGAGTAACAACGAACTGGCATATTTGCCCATAAATGGCCCCATGCTACGGCAGCCGCCACAATGGGATAGATCTCAAAGAGAGCTGAGGTAGTGGAAAAACCTTCCAAATCCTGAATTTCTGTAGGCCAGCTGCCCCAAAGCCATTCGTTCCCAAAAATTGCCCGCAAAACCTGTGGTACATGCTGCATCTGACCAAATAGTAGGTGATGAGTCAGTCAATTGAGGGAGGAACATACTTTTACCAGTACAAGTGGTTAAAAATTCCTTCCACATGCGTAGGTTTGCCGAAGCTTGGTTATCTAAGGACAACCTGTGTGTGTCATGTAGGAAGCGTGGAAAAAGATACAAGAGTCGTGATATGAAGGAGCGGCCTTGATGTGTTATACGCATGCCAAAATTTAGTGACCCCAGCAGGGACTGTAGCTCTTTGCGGTTGCAAGTACCGAGCTGAAGGTAGCGGTTGATGTAAGTAAAAATGTTCTCTATCTTGTCGTGTGGTAGGCTTGCTTGCATTGTGTTTGAGTCTAATTGAATACCCAGGAAAGTGATAGTCGTGTCTGGCCCCTCCGTTTTCTTAGGGGAGATACGTACACCTAGTTGCTCGAATAGCTTGGTGGTAGCTTTGAGGCTTCTAGGAGGAGAAGTATTTTCCTCGACCAGTAAGAAGTATTCCAGGTAATGTTATACCGTAGGGCATCTGGCTATGTTCAATAGTAACAAGCACAATGCTTCGGCAAATGTGTCGAAAATAGCTGGGCTACTTTTGGACCCAAAAGTTAAATGGGAGAAAAAATTGTAGTTCCCGGCCCACTTGATACCATGCATGTGCCACAGTATGGGGTGGATTGGTAGCAATTTAAAGGCATTAGTAATATCGGTCTTACTAAGCCAGGCTCCGACCCCTGCTTGTATGATCGATGTAATGGCGTGATCTATGGTGGTGTATTGCAGGGAGAATTCCTCGGAGGGTATGAGGGAATTAAGACTGGGGATGGCCGATGAGTGTGGTGCAGACAAGTCAATGATGAGTCTCTGTTTAAGGGAAGATTTCCCTGTGACAATGCCAATGGGGTTAGTACGCCATTCTTTGAATGGAGGAGCTTTGAAAGGCCCCAATACGAAACCCTCAGCAACTTCTTGGCTATGAGAGTGTCAACAGCTGTGGGATTATGTTGTGCGGATTGTAGATTAGGGCATTCCAGAGTCCCGGATGGTATGTGTAGAATACCCGTGTGGAAGCCTTCTGTTAAACCAGAGATAAGAAAGTCCACCAAGTGTTTAGACGGGTGATGTGACATAAATGCAGTAAATACCGGCATATTAATGGACGTGAGGTAAGGCTTAGAATACATTTTATTTGGACACATGGTTTTTGCATGTGCCCTAAAACATTTTAAACAGATATGCAATAATCTGCAACCGCTATAATTACAAGACCCAACATTGAAATTATTACATATCTGGGACTTGCCCAGGAACTTGATCGGGCGTCCCAGTTTGTCTCTGGTCACTTTCTCTGGAACACCAGAGGAACTAGCTCCTTGCGTGGAGGCATGTTCGTCAGCCGTGTTGGGACAGAAATTTGTCGTATGGGCTGTAGAGGAGCAGTATGCACAAGCCGGTGTTCTTAGACCTGCAAAGTGTCTGCAAAATATGACGGTATCTATCCTTCCCCAGTTGGATCTTGTTCCATACTGGGAGAACGCTCCAGACACTTTTGCAGAAAAAGACCTATGGTAGTCATAAAAGGCTGAACCACCATATTTGTTGCCCAGGTCTACCAGCTTGTGCATATAAAGATCAAACTCCTCTCTTCTATTGGGATAGACCACACAGATGACATCCCGGTAAATACCAAAGGCCAGTACAAACTCGGGGATAGTCAGTTTCCTGTTTAGGTGGGCGTCCCTAGATCTGACAACAACAGACACATCATCATAAGCATAAGTCTTATTCTCCACAATATCCTGGGAGGCAATCAGCAGGGAAGCTAGGTTGACGTCTTTACCTTCCAGGATATCTCTTTTTATGTGCTCGGGGATCATATGAGCAGGGCTAACTTCCTGGTCCTCCGAGGTGATGGTTGGAGGAACCAATAGGAAGGCAGCTGGTGCTTGTGAAGCAGCAGCGGGTGGCCCTGCTAGAGTAAGGGCTGTGGTGACCGACTCAGGTTTCTCCAACCTGGAGTTGACCTTGCTCATGGACGCCATGAGTGAGGATAACATGGAATGTATGTCTCCTGGGTTGGACTGACTAGGTCCTTTGCCGGGATCCATGTTGTTATTTGAGGTACGTAGCAGTTTGAAAAGTTCTGCTTTCCTTGCTGTAGCGGGGTAGGGGATTTGCCATCTCCCCCTTCCTGAGACATACTATAACCAAAACAATTAATTAGTGTATGAAAAAACTTGTTTGGTGACAGATGAGGCCCTACTAGTTGCCAAATGGCTTGAGAGGCTCTATCTATGCGTTGGCACGAGGGGATTTGAGGCCACCTGTCGTAGTGGCAGGAATTTTAGGCCTCTCGGTGACTGTAATATAGAAAACAGGGAAAGGGAGTGATTGGTGAGGCCCTCTCTATGCAACATGCGAGGCGGCTAGCTAACGTGTGGCCCGATGGGTTTTTGCCTCTGAAACGTTGAGGCGGGGTGTTGGCCTTGCGGAACCACTAACTGATGGCAATGCCAAGAGGGGGTGAATACCTATTGGGATGTCTATGACCCTATTGCCAGTACTCTAACCTAGGAGGGAGAAATGAAATGTACGGCAGAATACCATATGAGCAGGTGTACGTACCTGGTAGTATGAATATCTCACAGGAAACCGTGTGGTGAAATATCTATTTAAACCTGGACAGCCTGAAAATGGGTAAAAGAGAGTAGTATAGTGAGTGTGGACTGTGTGGGAATGAAGTAGACTGTGTAGCCCGTACTAGTGATTTTTTTTTAAGGCTTGATTGGCGTATTACTTGGTAAATGAAGTGTAGTGATATACCATGAGAGTATAAATGTGTTACCAAGGCAAAGTGATGCCGTGTCTTTAATGCACAGTTCTGTATAAAACAGTGGGGAATATATGATGGTGTCAAGTAGAAAAGAACATGGATGAGGGAGGCCCTGGCCTATATTTAAACAGCGTTATGTATGATATGTAATAATACATGGCACAATGACTTATGGGGCTGGCATAGATTTTTTTCCAGGGCTGCTTTGTATCCTCAGTCCGGCCCTGTGTATCCTGATATTTAGTGAGTGGCGCTGTGTACTAATATCAGTGAGTGGAGCTATCTACTGATATTAGGGAGTGGCGCTGTGTACTGACATTAGTGAGTGGAGCTGTGTACTGATATTAGGGAGTGGAGCTGTGTACTGATATTAGTAAGTGGTGCTGTGTACTGATATTAGTGATTGGTGCTGTGTTCTTCTATTAGTGAGTGGCGCTGTGTTCTGATATTAGTGAGTGGAGCTGTGTACTGATATTAGGGAGTGGAACTGTGTACTGATATTAGTAAGTGGTGCTGTGTACTGATATTAGTGATTGGTGCTGTGTTCTGATATTAGTGGATGGAGCTGTGTATTGATATTAGTTAGTGGAGTTGTGTACGGATATTAGTGAGTGTAGCTGTGTACTGATATTAGTAAGTGGAGATATGTACTGATATTAGTGAGTGGACCTGTATACTGATAGCAGAGTGGGGCTGCATACTGAAAGCAGTTAGAGCTGTATAGTGATAGCAGAGTGGGGATGTATACTGATAGTAGTTTATGGCTGTATAGTAATAGCAGTTTAGAGTTGTGTACTGATTGCAGATTAGGGATGTGTACTGATAGCAAAATGGAGCTGTATACTGATAGCAGAGTGGGGATGTATGCTGATAGCACATTATGGCTGTATACTAATAGCAGTTTAGAGCTGTGTACTGATAGCAGAGTGTAGGTGTATACTTATAGCAGATTATTGCTGTATACTGATAGCAGAGTTGAGTAGGGAGACACACACACATACACACACACACACACACACGTGTTCAGATCTCCCCCAGCCAGTGCACTGTAGTTGTATTAGTGTAGAGCAGTCTGGCTCTGGATCCTATCACCGGGGAAGCTCTGACTGATAGACGGGACTTTAAATCGCCTCCTTCAGCTCCCAGCTCCATCCCCGCTCCCCTGCTCCCAATCCCCAGCCCTCCTTCCTCCCCTCCCCCGCCCTGTGTTTATTTAGAAGAAGTGACTCCATCACACACTGTTTGCCTCGGATGTGAGGCTGACACTTGTACTAATGTTAGCTCCCCCTCCATCCCATCTCTGCCACAGGGGGGCTGCCTGTCTCACTCACCCTCGGTCCCCACTGACAGCCTGTGGCTCGGTGAATGAGGTTGCCCGGGGGCCAGCAGGGGGGTTGATTCTTCCTGGATAGGAGGCTGCACTGTGCACATCGCACCTGGAGGCAGGAGGACAAGTGCTGTGCGTGGAGAGGATAATCTGATCAGAAACACGAGTGGGGACCCGGCTCTGCTCCCACTGTCACTCAGGGCTTCTCCATTCATTCACTCACTGCTCTCCTCCAGCTCCTGGCAGTGGGCTAGCAGATCAGACTGGCTGGCTACTGAACATTCTGGGATATTGGAACAGTCACACCTGGGTTCCTGGTTGGATGAGGCTGCTCTCACCTTACACTGATCACTGGAGACAAACAGTCTCACTGAGTTCCTGGCTGATTTCATCCATAATTTGGAGTTCACCAAACCCAGTGAGTTGTGTGATTCCCCCATCAGCCCCCGGATAACGGAATATCTGACACCCTGTGATTAGTGCGCTGCCTGTGGACACAATATTCTGGATTTACCTGTTTGATGCCAATAAACAATCTGCTGTGTCTGATCACCTGGCCCCCTGCTGACCTAGCAGTGCCCTGTTTTGGGGGACCTAGCTCTGGGTATCAGAGCCCATTTTGGGGGGACCTATCTCTGGGTATCAGTGCCCATTCTGGGGGTCCTATCACTGCGTATCAGAGCCCATTTTGGGGGGACCTAGCTCTGGGTATCAGTGCCCATTTTGGGGGGACCTAGCTCTGGGTATCAGTGCCCATTCTGGAGAAGCTATCTCTGGGTATCAGTGCCCATTCTGAAGAAGCTTTCTCTGGGTATCAGTGCCCATTCTGAAGAAGCTATCTCTGGGTATCAGTGCCCATTCTGGAGAAGCTATCTCTGTGTATCACTGCCCATTCTGGAGGACCTATTTCTCGATATCAGTGCCCATTCTGGAGGACCTATCTCAGGGTATCGGAGCCCACTCTGGAGGACCTGCTGGCGTTATTCCCCTTACTGTTGCTGCTGCTGTGTGTTTGCCACTGGTGCCCATGATGCCTCTGAGTGCCCTGCCGGGGACCCGCTCCCTGAGCCCCGCTGCCCTCTCTCGCAGTCTGTCCCGGCTACGGGAGTACCGCACTCGCTCCAGGATCATGCTGTCTCTCGGGGTGTCCCAGATGGTGCTCGGATGTCTCATCGTGGCTGTCAGCTTCGCTGCCCTGGCTCTCACCACCTCTGCCAGGGTCAGGCATTCGTGCCCGTTCTGGGCCGGCTTCTCGGTAAGTGGAAACAGTCAGAGAATGTCATAGAACGTTACGGATTGATTCATTGTATCCGGGAGACCTGTTATCTTCACATCACTAGATCAGTATGTACAATCCCAGTGAATGGCATAGAACGTTACAGATTGATACATTGTATTCTCTGGACATCGCTAGTGCTCGGGTCAGTGGGGACACATGTCATCAATGTCTGTGAGGATATGTTACTCTAAGTGTAGGGTCCTTAGAACAGTGCTGGCTTTGGATGGTATCTAGCTAAATATGTGTAGAGACCTTAGTAATCTCATGACTATGGAAGCTATATAATACTATATATGTGTAGGATCATAAGTAACCCCTCCTGAAAGCTAACTGCCCTTATAGTCAAGGTGGGTCATACGGCAGAGAAACAGAGGTCTGTGATACCTGTGTATAGCTTGGGTACCACTAGACATATTATTGTCCCATTGAATGCAAGAAATCATTACAAAGTATAGATCTTGAGGTGGAATGTTGACCTGCAAACTAGATGGACTTTGCTTTATAAGTGAGTGAGTCAGATTAACTTTTCAAATCTAAAGAGCATTCCACAGTCCAATCTGGTATCACCAAACTAGCATTTATAGATCTGTACCCCAAAGAGTTAATTTGTCATATTTGTATAGGATATTTGGTTGACTACTGTATTAGGTTGTAGTATGCAGGTAGCCTTATCATTATTCTTTGTTATCTCTTTATTATATGAGAAAGTGGAGCTGCACAATTGCTGCCATGCATCAGTGTTCTCTTAGGAGTATTTGCACATGCAACCCATGCTGTTCTGTCTGGGTTTGTATAGAAGCACGTGAGCAGCCATTGCTTGAAGTAATAAATTACTTGTTTCCATACCATCTGTAGTGATTAATTATGTGATATCTACATGCAGGTAACTTTCCACCTTTTGGTCTTTGTCTATATATTTTGGCAAAAATAGTATATCAAATCAGGTAACTCCCTTATTGAATATGCAACCTGCAATTTAGAGGTCACAGCATAAGAGGGGTCACAGTGCTTCCTCAGTATAGAATGGAATGATACCTGTTTATTCTTCTATTCAGAGAATATGCTGTGCCATTACAATTATAATCTAAAGTTATTTTTTCACTGTTTGTCAGCCAGTGAGATTGAGTCATGCAATCACATAAAGTGCAGCTCAGGTACTTCTAAAGCATGTGTGCTTTCAATCACTGTATTACCAATGTTCCCAGTAATAAGCCTGTGCCGATGTATAATATTTGTTAAAATTTGCCCTGCTGGAGATACTCCTGCCTGGGGACAGATTTAGGAAACATTACCATATAATAGTGTTCCTGTGCACTCAAATACCCCTAATGGAAGTAGGAGTTTATTAGAGTCAATTGTCAAAGAGAACCAGTCTGTGATCATTAGGACGCCTCTCCATTTTCACTTGGATCTAAGCATATATTTCGCATGAATAAAGAAATGACTAGACTATACATTATATCTATTGATGAGGCTTGTGTCTCTGATTAAAGGCATCCCATCTAATCAAAAGCATGAATATTAAGCAATGTCTGATAGTCTAAAAAAAAAAAAAAAAAAACACCTCTCGAAGAAATGACTGCCACAGTTCAGAATTAAATCTGAGTTCAGAATTACAGTAATTGTAAAAGAACAGCCTTACAGAATGAGTTCTTCAGGGCAACCCGTAATCCCATTTAGCCTATGGCTTTTACAGAACAAAATACAGACTGCAGCGAAAATGTATCTTAATAGCAAGTTTCATATATTTTTCACATGTGTAACCGGTTAGATTGGCGGTTTGGGCTCCACATTTTGATTGGAGGTTTGGCCTCCATTGTTAGATTAGAGGTTCTGTCATCTCCTACTGGTTAAGAATGACTGATCTGTAGTCTGACTAAGGTTGTAGCAGGGATAGGCAACCTTCGGCACTCCAGATGCTGTGGATTACATCCCCCATAATGCTCTTACACCCATAATGCTGGTTAAGCATCATGGGAGGTGTAGTCCAAAACATCTGGAGTGCCGAAGGTTGCCAATGCCTGCGTTATAGGATCGATACTGGTGGCAATCTTGCTGTAGGAGCTCAAGAAAAGTTAAATTTTTTTACAGTGTTTATTCTAGTAAACAATGGGTTAAGAAGCAACGCAGGACAGCGGTAAATTTAAGTTTCGCTGCTTTTGTACTTGGTATCAAGTCTTTTGCTGGTTTCACAGAAACCTACAAGCCCCAGTTGCTTTCTCTTGCATTACCTCCTCCTGGTTTCACATCCAGTACTACTTAATTTATGGAGGAAAGAAAATGAGCTGTGATTCTGTGTTTCCCCTGAGGGGACCAACAGAGCAGCCGGCAAATCTTCTGCAGATGCTTCAAGGACAAGGGCATTTTCCTTCTCGAAAAACAGCAAAATGAACCTTTCTCCTGGCAGGTTCAGAAAATATGGATGACCGAAAGTCATTTGTGCAGTTTGCAGATAGACTAATCTACATATAAGTAACCTATGGCTCCCTAGCTGTTGCTGAATTTCAATACTCCTGATCTTTATCATGCCTTGTATTCTTAAATGGGCACTGTCACTTCTCTGGAAATCACCATCACACATTACTTGCGTTAACCTTTTTTTCATGTGATGTTCTGTTTTCTTTTCAATGTAGATTAAAGATTTAGCAATTGCAATCTCAATTCAGTTCTGCCATGGCATAGCGAGATACCACATTGCATCCAAGCCCTTCTCCTCTCTCAAAGTTAACTGACAGGTGCGAAGGGCAGAGCTTATAAAGATTATTAAGAGGGAGCCAAAATAGAGGCATGTTAAATGTGTGGATTTTGACATTTCATTTTATTTTTCAGAATTCATAAACACGATATAATTTGATAAATAGAGAAAATAAATAATAACGAATAAATATAATATTGAAAACTGTCAAAAAGAGGGGTGACAATTATCCTTTTAAGATTAGGAATGCTGATATCGTACAATTCCTAATCATTACTAAATTTTCTTCTTCTGTAGGTTATATTGGTAGTTGTGCCCAGAATAAAAAGTTATCATCTACTACCTAAATCAGGCTCGTTAATGCGCTCAAGGACACAATGCCAGTGAATCCGTGCTATATATGTTAAGAATAAGTGCCCATGTGGACTCACAACCAGCCTTCTGTAGCTTGTATTGGGCACATTTAATTAAAGGAATGTCCGGAATAAATGTTACCTTCCATTCTCTGAAATAAAGCCTGTGCATGTGTTAAAAAACCAAACACAGGTATTTGTAAAAAAATGCAATATATCTTTTTATAAACAAGAGCCAATCATACTAAGAATCAGGTTTCTGGCACTTGCTGGACTGTAGCATGCAGACAAACATCATATAGTCTGTGTAAATCGCTTTCTAAAACACAAAGACTTACCTAGATGCTCACCTATCACCTCTTAAAAGTTGCCCATTTGTTATAAGGAAGAACCATAATAAATAATAGGAGTAGCTAGAATGACTGTAACCAACCCATACTTATGCTAGCTTGTGATCTATACTTCTTATCTTATCTGAAACAGGATCAAAGTAAGTACCTGGGATAGAGGCAGACAGCCTGCTGCATGTCCATGTTTCACTGGCAAAAGGAGATTTTTACTGGTGAAACAACTAAATCAATTTAAAATAGAGGCTTCATTTTGCCCCCAACAATCAATTTCATCTCCTCCAAGAGAGAGTTTACATCAGACATTGGTTACTAAAAGGGGTACACCCAGCGAGACACATTTTAAAATATTCTCAAGGAAGACAAAGGCTTAACTTCCCTGGCTGGGCCTTTTCAAAATTGGATTGGTGAGCATGAAATAAAAACATAAAAGCCTGCTAAAGAAGGACACATCCACAGGAGGACAGGAAAATAACTTTCTGTTATCAAAATTACTGTCCTGTTTATATTATCAACAGTTTTATTTCCCTTCCGATCTGTTGAATTGGAGTTTCTAACCCACTAATTAATGCTGCCATGGTTTGATCAGGACATATTGACTGTCTGTTGCAGAATTGCTTGATGACATTGCTGAAACAAATGCCATCAAGCAAGTCATTGACCCCCCTCAAATTAGTGTGTATCAGGCTACTGCCCTTTGTGGGAGCTGGCAGAGATGCAACATCCCCTGAACCACGATCATTCAGGAGTTATGGCCTTCAGACTCACACCATTCGTTTGCAAACTAAAAAAATCACTGCCGGAGTGAGGCAGGAGGAATTAATTGTGCATGGCTGTTGCTTGCCCAGCACTGTGTGGGGTTGTGTTTTGGCTGGTGGTCTGTAATTTTAATGTCCTCAAGGTATGTACCCCCTCTGAGAAATTTCCAGGTGGATTGCAATAGCTTTTTTGACCAGTCTGCCAGTCTTTGTTGAGTCTGAATGAGCTGAAGGTGTTTTTAAGTAAGGTGATACAGTGCTCATGACATTCATTACAAACGCCCAATGTCCTTGGTGGCCATGGAGTCAGTGAGAAACCTAGTCTACGTCTGTTATAGATTGACACACCATCATGAATTATCAGTCACTATGCAGGTCATTGTGATAAAGATTACATGCAGGAATAATATACGATGTTGGAAACCTCTATCACTGCATGTTGTGCTTGACCATCCACTCAGGGATCTGCAAGTCTTTTTTGCTCAAAAAGTCCTTTTGTTGGTACCAAAAGGTACCAGCCTGGTGACAATGTTCCAAATAGATTGGAAACTCCAGAATACTCAGCACACACAGCAGTTCATTCTTCAGAAAGGATAATTAAAAATGTTAATACCTTTAAAATGAATTTTTATGATTATGCTCCAGGTAACAGTAATAATCAAAGGCTTATTTTAGCACTTGTTGCTTTTTGAGGGGCATCAAAGTACTTTACTGTAATATGCATAATTGTTGCAGAGTACTTATCATGCGAATAACTGTTGTAGAATTCTAAAACTATTCATGATGTTGCTTTGCACAATTGTGATGTAGATAAACTATGACCCATTAGCATTTCCTGAAATATCAGTACCCA